TGAGGTCCAAGCAAGATGACCGGCCACTTGGGCTCCAGTGCGTAGGGAAGTTGACCATTTGCTCTAATCCGAAGCACCTGAAGGCGGTTTCAAGGCACTGACCCACTGGGGTTGTCCGATCACCAGCCAACCAGCTCGAATTATGGGCATTGAAGTCACCGGTGAGGAGTAGTGTGGATACAGATAGATTAAGCGACAGAAGGCAGTATTCCAGACCATCAGAATAGGCCTGGATATCCGCCAGGGTACCACCAGGAGGTCGGTAGGTGGTGCAGACTATGAGTGGACGTTGGGGTGAGTTGGCTGTGCGAAGCTCAAGCCAGATGGCCTCCAAGCCCGGTTGCTGAAGATTCGCCAGAGGCTTCACCGATGTAAAGGAGCCATCTTTCACCAGTATGGCTACCCCACCATAACCTCTGGTAGGATTGGCCGATCGAATATTAGAGGTGGGACGATCCCGTCGATGAACTGTGTAGCCTGCCAACAAGAAGAGGTTGGCAGGGGACAACCATGTTTCACACAAACATATAACCTCCGGAGAGTAGATGTTGCACATAACAGTGAGTTCCGCTACTTTGTTGACCACTGAGCGGCAGGCGAGGGAAAGGATGGTAAGGGCAGAATGGATGGGAGGATAAAAGGGACGGGCCAGTGGATTCAGTGTTCCAGTAGTGTTGGGGAAGACAAGGTTACTATTCATTGTGAGAGATATTGTCCGGTGGGCTGGTCAGAATAGAACCGCCATTCCCTCACGGTATGACCCATTGTGTTTGGCCAGAAGGTGTGCCGACATACAGTATCGGCATCCTTACCCTCGACAGTCACTCTGGCGGAGGCAGTTCGAAAATACTCGGAGGAGTATATTAAGCACTGCACTATTTCAACACCGCGTTCCCTGCACCAGTCTGCTATCCTCGCTGCCTCACAACCAAACGGAATATCTCCCAAGTAGAAGACCTTTCGCGGACTGCGGGGGGCCGCATCCAGAGACGGAACAGAACCAGGGACATTCTGGTTCGGTTTGGCGTAACGTGATGATACCTGGCGACGGATGGGATTTCTTTGTGGTGCTTCTTCCTTTGGCTGTTTGTTTGCAGGGAGTCCAACCTCTTCTATTTCAGTAGGGTGAGGTTGGGTCCGTGTCATCCTCCTGGCTTGACGGCGCTGATTCCTTGACATGACAGGCTAAAAGGATACGTCGTCCTTATCGGCAGTACTGGCACTACTAGAAGTTTCAGCCATGAGCCCATTTGCTAGAACTTGGGCATATGGTCTAGGAACGTCTGGTGTGTTGGCTAGCTGTCCATTCTCTTTTACTGTTGATGCTTTGTCGCTTTGGAGGAATGACGTATGTGAGCATTGAGCTGTTCCAGCCAGATCCATGGTCTTCTGAGTTCTGCAAGGCTGGACTAACAGACCACAGCCAACAACGCTCTCCAACTGGTCCACCTTTTCCCGTGTGGATAGTAAATCATTTCGCAAGCTCGTTAGCTCTGCATCTCTGGTTGCTGAAACTGCAGCAAGTTCACGTGTTAGACTGGCGATGCAATCCTGAAGTTTCTCAAGGAAAGGTACCATTGATGGCAGGCACTTCTCACCACAGGCAGGGAATTGACTGGGCGCCGAACCTGGGGGATAAGTGCCAATACCATTTTCGCGCAGAGTAGCAACCAAGTCTGGGCGTGCTAGGTCACACGAATTAGGTATGTCCTTCTGCTCAGCTAGTTTCTGAAGCTGCGAAAACTCCAGGATCGCCAGGTCAATATTGAGATCTAGCGCCATCACGTGACTGCCTCTGAACACCACTGCAGCAGGAAGTGTTCGGGCGTTGGCTAGCGTTGGCTAGCGCCAGCAACGCCTTCACGCCTGGGACCGACCTCGGTAGCGCAGGAGGAAGAAGACACAGCAAGACGCAGCAAACAATGGCCACCGAAAAGCCAAACCAGCCTCTTTCACGCTGCAATATCGAGGGAAGGAAATAATCCACAGCAATGGCGTGTCCACAACTGGCCGGGTAGTGGTCCACAAAGCCAATATCCAAAACTTCAAATCAAAATCGGCTCTCAATCTGCAGAGAGACACCTCCAATCCAGAGCGATAAAATCTCTAAGGGATCCAGTTTTTATATGGATCCAAGCACATTTCAAGCGGTCTTACTCGCAGCAAGGTGATGTTGCCGGTGAAATTGACTGGGTTGGCTAATGGGAGTGGGGTGACAACTGGTGGCGAAGAAAACGTCACACCTGCATACGACATGAGTGGGTTGCTATGCACCCACATACTGAGGCAATAGCAAAGTCATTCCTTAGTGGATCCAAAAAGTAGAAATCTGATGTGAACTTGCTACTCCCTGGCCATATTGACATCATCACTTTCAAGCCCTATTAACACACCATTTGAACATTTCGAGTTTAGCGTAATGGGGTTTGGCTTAACAAGTGCCCCAGCCATGTGTAAATCCCTGATGAATTCGATTCTTCAACCACATTTTATGTAACTGCGTCGTGTTTCTTGACGATATCTTGGTTTTCAGTAGAACCTGGGCAGAACATGTCGAGAACATCGGGACTGTTCTAGAGACCCTAAAGACGAATCAGTTGTACTGCAAGAAATCCAAATGTGAGTTGGTGTGAAGGAAGTGCTGTTCTTAGGGCATCAGATAACTGGACCATCTATCATCCCGGGCCCTCGCGAAATAGAAGCCGTACAGGATTGGCCCCCACCATCTTCCATAACGGAGGTAGGACAATTCCTCGGTTTCGTGCACTATTTCAGAAGGTTCATTGCATGACCACTTCTCAAGTCTTTCATCTTCATTGGAAGAAATCACGGGGAAAATGCCTTTTCATTTGGAACACTGAAAGGCAGAGGGCATTCGATTCTTTGAAGAATGCACTTCTATGCACACCAGTTTTGAGATTGGCGAACGTTGACGAGACATTCCGTGTAGAAACTGATGCCAGCGATTTTGCTGTGGCAGCCGTACTATCTCAGAAAGTGGACGCTGGTTCGTGGTTACCCGTTGCCTATGCTAGTAGGAAATTGTGCTCAGCTGAGCGAAATTACACGGCTGCAGAGCGGGAAACTGTGGCCATTGTGTTTGCCCGCAAGTCATGGAGGGTGTATTTGTTCCAGCACTTTGACACTGGTAATACGGGCGTTCTGTACCTTCCGACTAAGCCCCAGCTGATGAAACGGGAGGCCCGCTGGGTGCAATGTTATCGCATGAGCTGATTGTAAAGTAAGAAACTGGTGGTGTTAGTGGATACTATAGTGTAACTTGTAGCTCTTTGGTCCTCTTTCTTCTTATAAATTCATGAGGTTGAGAGATAACTATTTCTATATTACTTAGGAATGGTTATGACTGGCTTGGTTCCTTTGAATGTGAGCACCCATATGTGAACCATGTCACCATTCACCCGTATGTGAACCATGTCGCCACTTCGTTTACTCTTCTTTTATAATTATGTTTTCATTCTTTTCAGGCAGTGATGCTATTCCAGCAGGTGGCGATGAAGTGGGTAAGGTGCCGGAATGTAGGAACTAGTGTATTGTATTATCGTTTACCCTTGCTTAGGAATGTTTGCGACAGCCTTGGTTTCTGTGAATGCAAGTACATGCCTCAGTCCGTGGTTGGTTTCACCCTCACTTCCTTGTATTGGCTATTTTCATTATGTGCCATGAAGTGCAAACAGTAAATAAATAAATAAATGTAATCATACTTGTTTTACCAGAGTGGATTCTGTGGCCATTTCTGGCACTATTTAGTTACTCAGCCTAGTATACCTACTTGTGAACACATTAATTTAGTTAGCTCTTCCTTTACCTGTTCTTTTGTTCTCTTCAGGCTACGATAGCCATGATGAGGGTGAAGGCAGTTTCGACAGTGGATCGGACTAATTCTACATATTGAGCTCTGTAAGTGGTAGGCTGGTGGACCGCACTATTGGTAGGTTTCAACTCTGCGGCAAATGACAAATAACTACTGCGCTATTATTTACAACATCTTCCATACAGCTCGGTTGCTAAGATTGGCTTATGATTGCTATCACCTTGCCGTTTTCCGGTGTCCTTTGCTTCGCTCGTGCTAGCGGTCTTCCGCTGGTGTTGTCGAGATAGTGTCCCAATAGATGAAATCCTCTCATACAAAAGATCCGTGTTTTGGGGTTGATTTTCCTCAAAATTTACAAACAAATCACTGATCTCTGCCATTTCTAATCACCATCAATAGAAAATGAACATTCGGCAAAGGGCAACCATGATCAGCAAATCATCCAAAAACAAGAACAAGATTTCGAATTTTCAATGTGCACACTTCCAGTGGTGATCACAACTCCTTCCTAATATCTTTTCAAATCAACGCGTTTGACGTTTGCTACCAACTTTGCCAACGTACGATGGCTGTAAAATACATGCCAGAACGACTTCCTCGTACAAGAACAACATTCTGTTCATGCAATCGACGAATTTCTTTTCTAATAGGCCATTCACACGACGTGCAAACATTTGCATGCGTGTGATCAAGATAACACGGGCAAACCGTGATCCAGTTCACACGGTGCTGGGCAAACTTTGCAACCGTCAATGTATCCATAGTGACCCCCTGAAAATGCCGGGAAATGTTAAATTTTGAATTTTCCTTTGTTCAAGCACTGCATTTGCAGTACGCACTTTCAACAACCGACACTTTTCCTGGCGTGCAAAAAATAATCCCGAGCAAAGGGGCCTCGGCCAAAATAAAAAATCAGTTGCACGCGTGAGTCCAAGTTTATCGTATCCGAGTAAATATCCTTGGAGACAGTACGATAAAAGTGAGTTTGCACATCGTGTGAATGGCCTATGAACACCAACCGTCCAAAAATGGCGGCGACAGCTCAAACTTCGAAGATCATGTCAGATCAGCCAAAGTGTCTCGCCGGCCAAGATTTCTTAAAATACCGCATTCGTTTAGCCTATTAGCACCGCAGAATAGATCACAAACACACCTCGAACACTTGTGCTATAGCTAGGAAAGGTGAGTTTATCCCACAGATCAACCTCGCCCGAAAGATTCGGCACAACTGGCAAATGTGAGACTACACGCATCTAGATGAATAGTGAAAATCGACAATGAAGTCAAAAGGAAGCGGGGTCCCTTAAAGCTAGAAGAGAAAAGAGAAAATGGTCAGTGAGTAAAACACACAACTAGTGGGTAAAAAAATACACAGCTTGCGGGTGGCAGCTTGGTGCGAACTGTTGAACAAAGTTTTTCCAGCTATTTTCATGAGACTTTATTATGCTTACCAGCCGGCTTGGAAACGATACATCAAGTCATAATTTGTAATATCACAAAGACAACCGATAGCTGCACTATTCAAAGGGCTATCCCTAATTAAACTGCCGCTGAAAGATTGTAAAAAAAGAGGAAATGAATGGATCGGAACCATTATGACTATGCATAATCAGATCAACGTTGCAAGGGACCTGCTAGAGAAGTTCATCGATATAATCCTGAAGGCAAATGTATCATCACCTGCTGATACTTAGCTATATACAAGGAAGTCAGCTCAATATTAACGGTATGGGATATCTATAATTATGAAAAACCCTACTACACAAACCATCCTGGCTAAAGGGATATCTATAGGGAAGAAAGGAACAAGGAACTACAAGTTACGAGTTGGATATCACCGATTTTAGATAAATAATAACATTCGACCACACCCAAGAATTTCAAATTCCTAAACACTCTCACAAGCCCATGCATTCAACGCACCAAGCAAAATACACAGTATGTACTTGTATACACACTCGCAGACAACACACACACACACACACACGCACACGCACACACACACACACACACACACACACACACACACACATGTAGGCACACTCGCACACATGCAAAGTGGCCCTCCATTCAGATGGCCAACATATCTTCAATATCATCAAACAGAGATTCCAGTTCTTGCTTGCTCTTGCCTGCTGGTTCTGTATCACAGAAGGGAAGAGACAAATCAGAGGTACTGCTGGAAAGCCAGGTTGCCGCGTGTGTTTTCGAAGCTGCAAGTTATATCGGTGCACCACTCTCGAAAACGTCATGAAGTTTGAATACAAAATGGAGAGGGATACACGACATTCTTATAATTATGGGCAGAAAGTTCAACAACTACTATGTAGGCTCAAGTACTTAGACATTCAACCACCTGACACCTGACACTTCCGTCGGTCAGTGTCGTGCAATGTTATCGCACGAGCAGATTCCAGCATTCCAGGAGGATGGTGGTCGGGGTTTAGGATGGCTAGAAATTTCAGATTCGGTGGTCGGGGTTTGGCTAGAAATTTAAGATTTTCTTTTCTACTAGAAACTTGTTTCTCCTTCCTCATGCAGAAACAACAAGAGCGTTCAATCACTTCAGGTGCGAAGTTCTCACATCCAATCAGAGTTCAGCAGGAGACAGCCAGCCAGGATGGGCTATAAAAGTAATCATTCCAGGAGGGGATGGTGGTCGGGGTTTGGGATGGCTAGAAATTTTATATTTTCTTCTTTAGTAGAATTTTCCAGCTTGTTTCTCCTTCCTCATGCAGAAACAACAAGAGTTCAGCCATCAGCGCTTAGATTTTCTTCTTTAGTAGAATTTTCCAGCTTGTTTCTCCTTCCTCATCCAGAAGCAACAAGAGAAATTTTATATTTTCTTCTTTAGTAGAATTTTCCAGCTTGTTTCTCCTTCCTCATGCAGAAACAACAAGAGTTCAGCCATCAGCGCTTAGATTTTCTTCTTTAGTAGAATTTTCCAGCTTGTTTCTCCTTCCTCATCCAGAAGCAACAAGAGAAATTTTATATTTTCTTCTTTAGTAGAATTTTCCAGCTTGTTTCTCCTTCCTCATGCAGAAACAACAAGAGTTCAGCCATCAGCGCTTAGATTTTCTTCTTTAGTAGAATTTTCCAGCTTGTTTCTCCTTCCTCATCCAGAAGCAACAAGAGTTCAGCCATCATCGCTTGCTGATGGCTGAACTCTTGTTGTTTCTGCATGAGGAAGGAGAAACAACTTGCGGCTGGAAAATTTCAGATGTTCTTTTCTAGTAGAATTTTCCGGCTTGTTTCTCCTTCCTCATGCAAGAGTTCAGCCATCATTGCTTGCTGATGGCTGAACTCTTGTTGTTTCTGTGAACTCTTGTTGTTTCTGCATGAGGAAGGAGAAACAAGCCGGAAAATTCTACTAGAAAAGAAACGAGCCAAGAAGAGAACACTAGTTTTGATTTTTTGGGGATGGTTAGAATTTAGAATTCTCTTCTTCAGCTTGCTGATACATCAACCCCAGCAAAGCAACGTAGTACATCTATTGGGGATAATACGATGTATTCAGGAATTATAATCTGTCAAAACCTGGCGCCCTATTTCATGTAGCTTGACTGGTTGACGGTGGATAAAGAAGGGCTACACACAAATGAAACATGTAATTGTCAACATACCTTGGTATAGATACTCTTCTTCCTTGGCAGGAGCTGTGGGCGCAAATAAACAAAAAGTCAGTAAAAATCCTATTGTAATTTCATTATTCTCTTTAGTCACGAATTCCATTGATAATTGTGACCAGAAAATGTTCTGGAATACATTATTTGTCCCCATGGTTGTGATATGAGTGCGCATTTAGTTATATTCATTGCATTATTAAGATTATTGTCTCCACGTCGCTTGTTTATTATTATACGTGTGTATGTGTGTATGCTGTGTGCTGTGTGCCTTGATATCGTCTACAGTGCTGCTCAATGAAATCCAATCAAGGATGTGAATGCCACGCCGGGCGCTGTGCAGCCCTATTACTAGTACCTGAGGGTAGTGGGATGTTCAGCTGGCGCAGGGCACAGACTTTGATTCAGCTTGATGCAGCAGTGTACATTGCACTTTGGAGCACAATCAGGAGACCTGCACTCGCGCCGTGGATTCACACACAACTGTGCCAGTGAGTGTGATTTTTCATCATGTGAGCACGCATGCAGTCCGATACTGCACATCACGTGGACGTGGATGTGTCACGGCTCACTCTGTAGGGGGTCGAATTACTATCATTGGACCTCACCAGAGAGTTACTGAAGTACTGTACTTACTGACACTTGTCGGTTGCGATGCTCTGAGGAACTTTCCCTGCGTGTCCAGACAGTGCACCTCCAATAGATAGCGACCGGCTAGAGGAAAGACCGGCCGCACATGCAGAAAGTCACACCAGCACACAACAAACAGCAGGTCGACACGGCAGCGTGAATACAAATACTTCATTCCCACAGCTCGCAGGTGAAATATCTTTCATTAGAGAGGTTTCGACTCGCGTGATTTGTGCTCTTACGTGAACGTCAATTTTTGCGTCGACGCGAGCTCAGAAAGAGCTTTCGTTTCACGTTGCTTGTGAAGCACGTCGTTTCGCTGACGACAGGAGCGAAAACTGGGAGCGAAAACTTCAAAAAGTGAAAAATAGTGATTTTTGGTGAGGCCAAAGTCGCACAAATATTATTTATAGCTAGTTTAGGCAAAAATCGACAAAATCAAGTCAATAATCCCAACCTGATAGCAAGGCTAAATTTGAAAAACTCGCGTTCACGTCGAACGTGAGTTGACCTCAGCTCACGTCATGAACGGGAGTTTCGACGCCAAAATTTGCCACACCGACGTGAAATTTCACGGTGTAATGCAGAAGAACGTGAAGCGAAACCTCTCTATTATGAAAACAAGCCTACACCGCTGTGATGAAACACCAAGGATCCCATCACTACGTAAGCCTGGCCAGGTTTCCACTGCCTCTACTTCGGAGCATACGTTCCTGCATACACACGTAGAGCTTACGAGGAGATATGCTGATTCCTTGGAAATCCACTGTGGCCGGGTCATTGCCATGGATCATACTGGACACACGGAAGTTACCTGCCAAGTTGCCACCACCTACGTACAAAAACAAAACAGTCAGAATTGTCCAAGCACAGAATGGTAATTGTAACATGGAACTTGAAAATGTGGGCACATGTTACGTGATCGAGTCTACCAACTAAACCAGATTTTTGAACAGGCAGACAAACACAATCTAGCACAAAACTGACTCGATGGCACTGACCTTCCCCTCTTTGGAATTAGCACTAATATCCATGAACCTTCCAAGTTGGAAGGCAATTGGTTGGCGCTATCGAACAGTGCTCAAGCAGACTTTAATGCCGTGGAATGTCCCAGTTCTCCTTGTCAGTTTTGTGCTAGGCTTGTGCACGTCTCACTGTTCAAAAATCTGGTTTAGTTGGTAGCCAAGACTGCATATCACGTGCCCACATTATTCCATGTTACAATTTTTCCTTGGCTCACTATCTGAGTACAGAATCATAAAATTATACTTTCGCCATACTGCATTCAAAAGGTGTAACTGCAATTTCAAATTGGGACTTCACGGAGAAGTTCAAAGTATTAGGAAATTGACTGGGAGGCCACCTGCTTCTTACTGCTCTTTTTTCTCTTTTCAGTTTCGGTGAGAAAAAGAGGAGTACAAGGCAGGTGAGAAAAAGAGGAGTAGAAGGCAGGTGGCCTAACTTCCTAAAGCATGTAAGCGTGAATCAAATCTTTCCTTGTCAGTACGCACATAAACGTTTCTATCAGGGCTGATGCATTCAGTCTCGCAAATAAAACCTAGAAAAGAAGGATGCAACGAGAGAGAAAGGGAGATGTGAAGGTTGGTGGCTGGGGCTAGGGAGGTTCTACATTTAAGCTTTCGCTACTGTTCTACTCCCTGGCTTGTCAATGGCCAAACTCCAACACAATTTCATCGACACCAGTTTCCTTTCCCTGAGTCCAAACACAATCAAGTATGTACATGTACTATTGTGGACATTAAACTTGAATCCGTTCTAGGAGGGTGTCAACGGACATCTCCAGCGATTCGTGGGAGTGTATGAGTCGTCGGCATGCAAGACTCCATGTCACACTGCTACAATGGTGGTATGCTTTGAATCTCTCTCCAATAGCTGGGTGTCCCATGCATAAACCAAACCAACAGCCCACACTTGATGCCCAATAGAAGATGAGATGCCACACATTCTGGGCCTGCAATAGTGGGTATTTCCAAACCCAGGCACACCAGTTCACACAGTTGTCCGCACACGAGGCCGATGGCGTTTTTTTTGCTGGGCATGCTAAGAATTCGCTCTGCAGCTTGCATATAATTATGCATGATCCATGGTGGATATAGTAAATATGACATAGCATAGCTTCCATGTGATGTCTTTATCGTTCGGTTGTACAGGATTAAGCAATTCTTCCTTGACGCACATAGCATTCTCTAACCTTGTACAATGGCCAGACTATTGTTCAGCCTCTCTGTAATGTTGTTATTGTGCAGTCAGCAGCTAACTGAAGTTGTCCAATGTGTTGCAGCATGACAGGTGTATTCTGACTGTTACTAGCACTACTGAGCATGTCTTGGAGTCAGGGTAGTGCACGTGCATCTATATCGCCACTTAGGCACTTACCAACACATTTTAATTCAAAATCTCTCTCTATCATCGGGTCTAACTTGATCTGGAAGTCTGGCATCTATAATCGAAGCAAATGAGAAGACAACACAATCCGCCACAGACGTCAGTTTGGCTGGGTTATGTAACATAATGGGGCCCGATGGAAGCTGACTTTCAATAACCCATGCTAGCCAGGGGAGCCACCCGGGGTGCAGGATCACTATTCGCAGCACTTATCGCCCATGCAGCAGTCAGGCTAATGGTCTGTTAGCAAGATACGGTATTTAGCAAGGTGCGCGGCGACATTTCAGCATAAAACCGTACCTCAAATGCTATAAATTCCCACGCACAAAGTAATACCAATGCCCTCTCTAAATGTTACAGGTTACAGGTGCAAAACTGCCAAACTGTCTACAATACTCTACATGCAAGCAATGCCTGATAGTCGTGGAATAGCTAGCAGATCATAGCAGAGTCATGATGTGCAGGTCAGTATAAATCTTAGTCAGTTAGTCAGTGCAGTGGCACTTACCACCTCTCCGGATACTGTCTCAAAGACCGGCTCCTTTGCCCAGTACATGCTCTTGAATACAAACACTACATGGACACACACACACACACACGTGTACACACAAACCATGTACACACAAACCGTGTACACACAAACCATGTACACACAAACCATGTACACACAAACCATGTACACACAAACCATGTACACACACACACATGTACACACAAACCATGTACACACAAACCATGTACACACACACACACATGTACACACAAACCATGTACACACACACACACACACACGTGTACACACACACACACATGTACACACAAACCATGTACACACAAACCATGTACACACAAACCATGTACACACAAACCATGTACACACAAACCATGTACACACAAACCATGTACACACAAACAATGTACACACACACATGTACACACAAACCATGTACACACAAACCATGTACACACACACACACATGTACACACAAACCATGTACACACAAACCATGTACACACACACACACACACACACACACGTGTACACACACACACACACATGTACACACAAACCATGTACACACAAACCATGTACACACAAACCATGTACACACAAACCATGTACACACAAACCATGTACACACAAACCATGTACACACAAACCATGTACATGTACACACAAACCATGTACACACAAACCATGTACACACAAACCATGTACACACAAACCATGTACACACAAACCATGTACACACAAACCATGTACACACAAACCATGTACACACAAACCATGTACACACAAACCATGTACACACAAACCATGTACACACAAACCATGTACACACAAACCATGTACACACAAACCATGTACACACAAACCATGTACACACAAACACACACCCACACACACACATAAAACAAGGGTGTTTTTTCATATCATTCACTACTTTATCTCTCTTCTCTGTCTCTGTCACGGACGCATCCACGCGCGAGCACACACACACACACACACCTGTCCTATAGAGCCACTGCCGTATGGGTCACATGGGCCCTGGAGGGGCATGAGAGAGGAAGATGGAGCACGGTCATGACGTCGGAGATTGTCTTCCTCTCTTCTCTGCAACAAATTTCGAATTTCATCGCACGATGTTCTAAATCCACTCGGGGGCTTGTCAGACCTCCGCGAGCGGCAACGTCAGGCACAACTGAAAGCGACTCAAAATTACTTTCAGTTCTGCGACACACACACACATTTTCTCTCTCTCTCTTTCTCTCCCTCTTTCTCTCTCTTTCTCTCCCTCTCCCTGGCTCAAGACAAGATGATATGCCCAGTACAGTCTTTCTCACCATGTTGTCTTATGATCTTCACAGCAGCTGTCATCCTTTGTAAATCATCAGGTGCAGGTATCTAGTCATACACACACACACGCACAAGTGCGCGCAGACACGCAACCACGCACGCCCACACACACACACACACACACACACACACACACACACACACACACACACACACACCATACAGGTCAACCGAATAAAAATAAAAACAGTATAGAAAGGTGCTGATGACTTGACAAGCTCAAGAATCAGCTCCTCCCACAGGGTTTTGGCCAGCCTGGAACCGTAGTGAATGGCCCATGGAGGCTTGGCCAGCCTGAAACTGAATGGCCCATGGAGGCTTGGTCAGCCTGAAACTGAATGGCCCATGGAGGCTTGGTCAGCCTGAAACTGAATGGCCCATGGAGGCTTGGCCAGCTCCTCAGTACATGTACATGGTCACTAGAGGGATGCAAGGAAGGAGGGACGGGCGGAGGGATGGAGGGGAAGAGGTGAACTCACCAGTGACTGCAGCTGTGCAGGTGTCAGAGTGGCAAGCGAAGGCACTTGGTTGTAACCCTATTCCAATAGTGTAGCAAAAAGCAAACACACATACACACACATACACACACATATACACACATACACACACACACACACAAACACACACACACACACACACACACACACACACATACACACACACCACACACACACACACAGACTACATATGCGTCATGAAAGTGCTAACTTGTCAATAACTAATAACTTGAACCCGCCCTTCTAGCAATTTGCTCACAAAGGATTGTGGCCACAGTTCCTCTATAGCCTGTCCGTGACTTGCTGCTGGAAATATGGGCTGAGCTGAACATGTCTTTTTCCTTCTGTTATCGAACACCATGTTTATGTAAAGAGTGAACCTACAAGCATGTTATTCAGGTGTGAAAACATGATAGTTCCAACAGTGCCTGAAAACACTGCAACTATACTAGATTAGACTTTGGCATGTGCATAATTGTTCGCTAGCCTGGCTTGCATCAAAGAGCCATTGCCAGCCATAGTTCACAGCACAAAGGGCACTGCAGAGGCTAACGGAAATCGAACATGACACTCTCACTGAAGGGTGCGGAATGTTAGGCATATCGGTTTCAGACCCGTTTGAAACCCGCGTCCCTACCCTTTCACACTGCTGCCAACATTGTTACTACTAATATGCCACTAGCCATGGCCATCAATTCAGAACTTCGCCTGGTCCAAACAAATTCTGATCATGGTGTCGGCTGCTGGGAAAACACATCAAGTTTTGCAACAAAGTGAACAAAGTGAATCTTTCTGATTGCACTGCACCGGCTCAAGAACACATAGCTGTCTCATAGTCTAGTCGAACAATGAAAATTGAATGACAGCTGCCCATACAGGGGCCCATCAAAACCTAACCAGACTACTAACCAGACTACTACTACTACATCGTACTCAGTACCTGTGACATGAATCGTTCGTAGTACTTCATCAACATGTTGTCCTTGAAGAAGCCGATCAGTTTTGAATCTGCCGGGCACAGAAAGAAGTGCGGACGCAAGAACAACAATTTCAGCTGCAGCATATTTTAGGCCAAAAATGCCAAGGCCGAACATAGTCGAAAAAATGAATATGCGCCGAATATGTGTTGACCTACTAGTACATGTACATTTGTACCACCAGGCTGTTGTAAAAGTGGCAGCTTGCCTGATAACACCATTATATTGATCTCTGTTGGAAAGGTGGGAATGTGATGTGTGCACTGTCATGCGCAAACTGTGTGGAATATTCCAGGCTGCACCTCTAGTACGGTGTAGGTACAAGGATATTCCTTGTGACACAGGATTCAAAGCGACAGGGTAGTCACGGATACGGTTATGTGTACAGTCACTGTGACCTACAGTGTGTACAAGACAAGTGTCCTCGGCTACCCTAGTTTGTAGCCGGTGAACTGGCTAGGCACACACGTGTAGTTCTAAAGCTCTCAGTGCTGTGAAGGTGCAATGTTACAACACTCGCGCCTTACCCATGCCAAAGAAATCAATGCCGTGCAAGCTTGTGACGTCCTCCCCATAGTTGTCAACAAACACGATCTTCCAGTACTAAACCGCGAGAAAGAGAAGGAGAGACATCGACTCGATCAGTGATCGAGCATGGTATCGAGGAAGGATGGACTCGAGGACCTGCTACCAATGTTTAGGCTATTTCTCACTACCTGCAGCCATCTGCCAATCCACCAAGACAACATCCATGAAAACACGCCAGCACCAACAAAGCGTCAGCGTATAGATCTCCTGCATGAAGTAGCAGTAGCTAAGAGAAAGTAGATTCGCAAAGCCCAGCCTGGACTCCAGTGGATTCGGATACCGTGACTGAGAAGATAGATATAAGCTGGTAAATAATCCTTTCAGGGCTCTTAGGTGAAGTTACATCACACTACCTAGTGGGTGTATCTTCAATAACAACACAACTAACCTGGGATGTGTCATAGAAGCCCTTGAAGTCCTGTGCCGTACCTACCATGGAGAAAAGCATATTTAAATACACAACGAAATTCATCACTAACGCTACAAGCCCCAGCAAGCAGCACAGCATTACCTGTAAAGATAATATACAGAGTCAATACAACGGAGCAAGGAAAGTCTACTTGAAACTTCATCAGACAGCACAGCACTC